TGGGGTGGATTGGGAAATAAAAATATTTTTGTAGTGGTGACCTCCGTCCGGCCTCCATTTCAGGACGAAATCACCCCTCCTCTGCTACCAAGCTGGGTTTGTGTCCTTTTTCGCCTTTCCCAAAGAAACTTGTGTTGAAATTCACATCTGGGGCTCCGTTAAAGGCAAATCCAAGCTGTGTGCCAGTGTTTTCATCTTTCAGCAATAATGGAATGGAATTCTCTTCGGACGTTCGCTTTATATAATCTTCCCTTTCGGTAAAGAGAGAGAGAGAAAAAAAACCCCACAATTGCCCATTACAGGGCAGTGGGAAGAAGCCAAAAATAAACTTCCATAATTAAAATTAGATTTTGCCTTCAAATTAGAACACGCCAAACTGCTCTTTTCCTCCACTTCCCAGAGGGAGGGGGGATTAGAGATTGAAACAATTCAACGATTCGTTTTAAAGTGCGCATTTCCCCTGTTTGGTTTAAATCACCACGCCAGTGTCTAAAACAAAGGCTACCAAACAGACAGAGGTCTTAGTTGGGTGGTTTTGGTTAGTATTTGGGTCCTGGTTTTGGTTAGTTGTTGGGTCCTGGTTAGTATTTGGATGGGAGACCAATGCTCCCTTTGAGCTGCGGAGCCTTGTGAGCAAAAATTCTACGTTGTGAGCGACTGGCATCCAAGCTGTGGGTGAGCAATTTGGCTGCTGCACCAATTAGTTTGCTCTGGAGCCATCGCTCCCTGAGTGAAGACAAAAATGTGTGTGCTGGAGGCTAAAAAACTGTGAGCTAGCTCACACTCAGCTTCCCCTCCCCACAACAGACACCCTGTGAGGTAGGTGGGGCTGAGAGAGCTCTCTCCAGAATGGCCCTTGAGAGAACAGCTCTGAAAGAACTTGTGACTGACTCAAGGCCACACCAGTAGATGCATGTGCAGGAGTGGGGAATCAAACCCGGTTCTCCCAGATTAGAGTCCGCCAGTCTTAACCACTACACCAAACTGGCTCCCCCTCCCCCCCTGCCAGCTCACATAGCTGTACATCCTGCCTCCACCTACACTCTCAGTTGCCTGCACCACCTACATGCCTGTTCCCTGATGGTGCTGGGTGGCGCATACCACTAGGAGCATGGATGGCAGAGTGCACGCAAACACACTAGAGTCCAGTGGCACCTGGCTGACCAACCATGTTTTACTCAAGGTGTAAGCCAGGGGTGTCAAACATGCGGCTCGGGGGCCGGATCAGGCCCTCGGAGGGCTTCTACCAGGCCCGCAGTGGAACTGGCTGTCTTCTGCTTCTTCTTCCAGTTCGTCTTGTTCGTCCGATTGAGAGGTTATACTTGTTAGCTAAGAGCTTTGGAAGACGGCGTCTGAATTCAAGAATATTCAGCAGCTATTTTATTGTACATGGAAACAGAATTGAGACCTGTATGATAAAGAGTCATCGAAACGAACGGTAACTCGAGAAGTTCGTCCCTGTCTGTTCGTCTTGATGTCATCATCCTTTGTTTGATGGTGCCTTGCTGTTAAGAACAAAGATTAAACACCATGAAGCTCATCAGCATTATAGCTTAATCATTGTATATTATTCTTACAATTGTGTGCACTTTGCAGCAACTGTTCTGTATATTGTCTTCTTCCAGTTCTGCTGCTGCTGCGTCATCGTAGGTTTGCAGCTTGCAGACACACACCTGAACAGCACGCTCAGGATTGCAACAACACAGACATTTTGATGCAATCATTCAGAGCAGGAGGTGTCAGTTATCAGACACTGTCAAATAAACAAAATATTGCAAGGGTGCTAATGTTTTAAGCATGTTTTTATTTTAAGTTAAAAAAAAAATCTTTGTGTTTGTGTCCTTTATAAAGTTTACTAGAAATAAGGCCCGTTGTGGAGATAAATACAACGGGAGCTAGAAAGAGGCTCTGGGAGAGTGCTCTGGCTTTGGGCAAACAGTGTCAGTTTGCTGTGGCAACCTCAGCAGGGTATAATGACAGAGTATAATGACCTGCACACCACCAGAATACAGAAAGTTCCATATGCAACTGACATTCCAACTGCCTTGCGGGGGGGGGGGGGTTTGGGGTGTGGAATGGAGTGAAGTCCAATCAGCTTCCATATGCAAAAGACCTTGAAACGCTGGGCGGGACTGCACAAAGGAGCCAGTCAACCCAGCCAGCGTCTTCTGACTGACAGTTCAAGCGTCCATACACTAAAGGTGTGCATTTTAGAAGGTTGGCACCCACTACTCTTTTATAATAAGGGAGAGATATCTCTGCACCCTGGCGTTACATTTTATGACGCACATGGCCCGGCCCAACAAGGTCTCATTTATGTCAGGTCCGGCCCCCATAACTTTTCGACACCCCTGCTCTACATCATTATACCTGGCTGAGGGACTTCCATTCCAGCTTTCGTCTGCAAGCACACTTCTTCAGGTACAATGCAAGGGAAATGGATGGCAAATGAATTATACAGAGAAATGAGATCACGAAGCGTCAAACCCATGCAAATGGTTGTGTTTGCTTCTGTACAGCCTGAATTCAAACACAGACGTAGCAGTCCCTAAGTATATCATCTGCCATATCTACAGATTGTGTGTCAAAGTCACAATGTGGGCACCAAATGCATTTGGAAGATAAAAACTGAACAGGGCGCAGAGCACGCTACTGAGACACCAGGTGGTATTAAGGTGATACCAGAAGCAAAATTTGCACTGGAGACTTCTCACAACTGCTGTTTCAGCTCGGGAGGGGGGCACGCTCTGTCACTCCCCCTCCCACCCCCAGCGAGTATGGAAAGGCGTGGTCAGTCCCTAAGGGCTTTCCGCATCCTCAAGAGCCATGAATGAACCCCAAAGGAAGAGCGCGGGTCGATCTCCCTGCCGTACCAAACGCCGCCAGCAGAGAGCGGGCGTGAGCACGGTCCCTTCTATTATGTCTTCTGCCAACGTAACGCTACGATGCCCTATTTGGCGGGGGTGGGTTACTTTGGCGTCTTCTTAGAGAATCACGGATTCCTTCCTTTCTTTTATCGCAATCTGCAAGTCCGAAGGCCTCTCCGCGGGGAGGCTCGGGTCCGGCGGACCCGATCCCCCAAAGTTACTCCTCCCCTAAAGACACTCGCCTCCCTTTCCTCCCCCCCCAATCACTGCCCCACACACCCCATATTTGCACCTGCATCACCAGCTTTCACGATTGTTCTCCTAAAAGTTTTTTTTGGGGGGGTGGGGGAGAAGCAAGCAGTGTTAAAGGGTGTGCCTGGACGGCGAGCCCTTCTGTGGCTTGGGGGGGGGCGCAGGCTTTCTCACCAGGGATTTCCAAGGCAAGATGGGGGGAGGGGTGGCGGGTTTTGGTGCCAGTGACAACCAGCCCGGTAACCGGAGACAGAGAGAGAAAAGAGAGGCTCGCCTCCTCCAAATGTGATCAAGCCCCGTTTTGATTAAAGGAAGAGGAGAGACACACAGAGAGAGTGAGAGAGAGAGAGAGAGAGGAGAGAGGGAAATAGACACCCAGTCGTGCAGGGCTTTTCTTTTTTTTTTTGGACAGAGGTAGAGAGAAAGAGAGAGAGAGGTTAGTAAACAGAGGGGGGACATCTGCAGACTCTCTCTCGCCCCCCCCCTAGCAATGAACGTTTAAGATGGAGCCGCGTCACCTCAAATAGGTAAAAATGCATTTTCTTTCTCTCCCCTCTCTGCAATTGGGGGAAGGCGGCGGCGGCGGCGGGAGGGGGGCTTCTGGTCAATTGCTCGCCGGGAAACCGACCAGACCCGCACCGGCTGCTCTTCCCGTGCTTTGGGGAACGGGGGAAGCTCCTTGGCGAAGGGGTGGGGATCAGCCCCATACTGTCCCACATCTGAAATCCACCGGGCTGGGCGGGGCTGGAGGGTGGGTCGGGGA